TTTTTTTGATGACACATTGCGAGTTTTACATTTAATCATTATACGTTTGTTTGTTTACAATACTTATTTCTCAGCAAACCCTCAACTAGTCTTCGATATTGCTTGTTGCATTCGTTTCCCTTTCATAATACTGACTGACATCAGCATTTTATAGACTTTATTCGATTTGACATTTATCGAAATGAGCTGAATTGCTTTGATCAATTTGTTGATGCATTAAACTAACAATATTGCTTATTCATCTCAACTCCCTTATTATTCACACTTAAATTTGATCAAAACTTGGTACAAATAGTATAAGCATAGAATTTTTTTTTCAAAAACAACTCATTCCAACATAAATACTCTCTAATGTACTCATTTTAGTCTATTCCTAACATAAAATCCTATGCGTTAATGGAATTCCCTTCATTGTTCTTAGTTACATATTCTTGAAAATGAACCGAATAGCATAAAATTTTACGTTGTATGTGTCGTCACACATCTTCTCGATTGATCTGTTCAGATAATCGTTTGCTTTTTGATTTAAACATTACCCTTTTATAGTCATCTCAATATTATATTTGTCAATATTGACATCATTCTGTCGATCTACACGAGTAGGGCTTTTGAAAATTGATAGAAATAGATTGAACATGACCTATTCGATCGATTTTGCCAGTTTGCGATAGATTTGTGGTTTGCGGCATAATACTATACACTTTAGGTCTGTCGAAATTTTTGTTTGTATAAAGTCAGCAGTGTCTTACGTAACCGATAAAAGGAGGTGATAAGAAAAGCAGTTCGAAACACCCAAATACTAGCCATTCGTAACACATCATCCGTTGATCAGTGCCCTTCCCATATCAGCACTCTTCAATTTTATTGCCTCACATGCTTCATTTCCAATTCATATATGACGCTCACACCGCTATTTGGGATGTGTCTCAGAAACTGATATATGCTTCCAAACTCTTTTAGCTGTTTCAAGAACGTTGTTTTCGGAATTGAAAACACATCATTTCGATGTAATAACATGTAAACATCTGAATAGATTCCATGGGATTAGTACAAAAAATACAAACTCAACCGCCCTACCTTTCTTAACTATTACTTCATCATTTTCAAAAAGTGTCAATATCAACGCTAATTTGCATTTTTTTNTTTTTTTGCGAGTACGATTGAGTTTATCTTTTGCGACTTATTGGCGTCCATGAAATCAGTTCCGTTTGAATCGTAGCAAATTTATTTGTGATTCATTTGTGCGAAGTTTGTGATCCATATGTGCGAAGACAACTCAATTTAAGATGATCCATGGAATTTCAGAATATTTAAAAGATGCCATCTCGTGGATTGATGAAGGCTGCACCTGATTATGCAACCACCTCCTTTTCATATACTGTTAACAGCATGGGATCATCACTGGAACGGATGCTCAACACAACTGAAAAAATACCAACAACGATACTTGCAGACATACCTAGCCAATCAACGTGGGCAAACATGCAAACGTGGTCAACGCAAGCAGCAGTGCCAGCAGGCACCTCAACAACGCCAAGCATCGATAATCCAAGGGACTGTTGTGGTCAAGTCGAGAGGGAGACTGATCTCGCGCAATCGTTCGTGCTCTACTTTGCACCAGTGGTTATTGGATTGGCAATAGTAATGTGTATCGCAAGACTACTTTTCAATTACTGCACTTTCCGAGCGTTAACTCAGCCTGAGTCATCGCATTGTTCATCGACATCGCATATGCAGAGCACTCGCAATCGCCGTCATGCTCATCATATTCACACACTCGATCGTTAGCATCCTTTATTTCAACGTTCTCATGGCACGAACTCTTTGTTCTACTCAATCCAAACACATATCTCATTTCATATAATTAGTTGAAGCACTTTGCTCTGATCAACTGATTGAAACGTTAAAGTTTAGCTCTCTCCTGATAACCGGCCCACTTCTTTTTTGACGAGAATAATGTTTTACCACACCTAAATTAGTTGGTAAATCCATATGACAACAGCGCATTTGATGGTACTGATAAGCCACTTTACTTCAGTAACGCACATTCGCAGTGCTTCACTGTACCATCATAAACACACTGTACCACTGTACCATCACTGTATCAAAAAAGAATTGCAAAATAAATGCGTAATTGGCCAAGAACAATCTTTTGCTGCACAAAACCTAAGCCATGATTGTTCGATTGGAAGAATCAATTAGGCACATACATAATCATAATTTCTTCCATTCTGCTTTCGACATGTTAACATAATATTTGATAAAGCATTGAAATTCAGATAATCGAATCTACACGATACCTTGTGAAAGGAATGATTCACTGGCACAAATATTCATGCAAGTTCCACCACCAAATTATGAACAAGCTCAAAAATACGGCAGACCAGTTGCATCAGTGGCGCAGCCTATCGATCAGGGCCCTCCACCATACGCTTATCAGAATCCACTATGTCTTAACAATGAGCAATCTGATCCACAGCAAAGGTATTTTCAACGAACTTATATGTGTACGTGATGGAAGGTGAACCTAGTGTTTCAAGTTGACAACTAAGGCATCGCTCGTTTCATCCATCAACTCGAGATCAGTTAAGAAAGCGACCTATTTCTGATGAAGAAATGAGCGATGGAAATGTGCCTTCTATGGCTTACGCTTAAAAATTGTTACCATTTGTAGCTCGGGGACACTCTAATAATTTTCCCTATAATAAAATTCGAAAATGTGATCCAAAAAATGTTGTCTATGCAAACAAACGTTCGGACGCGATTCTAGCGCCAGGCTCATCAGCTTTAGCATCCACAAGAAACTAACTGTGTGCAGTGTTCATTCGAAGTGCACAAAAACTTTATAAGATCTATTGTTAATGAGCTATTGCAATTAAAAATGCGAGTGATTTCAGTGCATCACTCGAACAAGTGCACGTCATATCGTCTCCTTCACCGTCATCAAATCAGCAACAAAATTCAGTATCATCAACAATAAATCCAAACTCGGAATCGAATATTCCCCAAGAAACGATCACCCATTCGAGTCAAATTCAGTCAAATGAAGAAAGAAATCCAACCGCTAATCCTCCATCATATACCTCCATTATTCGATAAAAATCACTAGCAATCGGTTCAGATTGAGCACTTTAAACGATCTCGTTTGCGGAACGAATACTGACGATTAATGATTAATTTGTACCGATCGTTCAATCAGTAATGATCACACAGAGCTGATGATCATATCATTTCTAAATGATCATCTCTCGAACAATCGCAAACGCACAACCGACATGAAAGAGTGCTCCCCTTTGCGAGTCTTCTTCTTCACATTCACAAAAATTGTAGTATATGTATAATAAATAATATTTTATAAAGTTTGCAACGGTATTTTTGTTCATTAATATTCATTGAACGTTTACATCTTTCGACGTTGAGATGCGAACATTGAATCACCGATTTATAAGTGCTTTAGCCAATGATAATGAGTGTGCACTTACGTTCTCATTAATTCATACGTGCTTGAAGTGTGTGATTGATTGTTAAACTTGCACGGGAGTTAGTATTGATTAGAAACGTTTGTGCACNCTAATAAGAAAACTTAGTAAAACTGACTGGCTGCAAAAAAAAGAAATTAATAATTCTCTAACAAGAACGGAAATCACAATTGCGATCAAACAAAAATATACAACGAATAATAAGTGACAAAGCAAAAGCATTCAGTGAAAATTCAACTGCAACGATCCCGTACCGTTTCAAAAATATTCCACAATCACCACAATTATTCCAAAAAATTACCACAATCAAAAAATATTCAGCAATTGGCTAGACATACTTTTTGAAAAGTTAGTAATTTACAGTCAACATTCAACTCGAGCTGACCGCAAAACAATCAATATTTCCGGGAAAAAAAAGTGAAAGAGAAACGTTATACGACGGAGTTCAAGAAGAGATATGAACAAAGGAAACGAACGAAAATACAACTAAAATAAGTAGCTGACTAATAGTAAGCAATATTTGATTCTGAATAACTGTCTTCGTGGTGATTCAATACAATAAACTCAAGTGTTTGGTCGTTTGGATGCACTTTCTGATGACGTCAACGCAGCGATGAAGTAATCACATTGCTTATCTATACCAGAACAAATCAAAAAAATGTGTAATTTACAAAGAACGATGAAATTTTATCAGTCGTTTAGAGCAGGGCAAAAAGATCCTTGCTATTTGATTAACTGACGATGAAATTAAATTTAAATCTCAAGCTTTAAATTATTGTATACTTTGGCAAATCCGTTACGCCCAGTTCCATTTCAGAAAGAAAGAACACTTCCTGTGCAGGCATTGTTCTTCATTCCCAATGATACCTTTTTGGTGAAAAATTTCAAAACGCACACAGTAAAATCATACAATTTCATTATAATGATTCAGAGATATTTCTTTGCAACTGGTTTTCAGAATCAGTTCAGATGGTGATACGTTCAAAATCTCCGAAATCGCTCCAACACTAAGGACCTGAGAACTGCCATCGNAAAACCATTTTTTTTAAATCTTTATCAATTAATGACTGAATGCATGATACGAACTACCTGATGAAGTTGACAGAATCCCAGTAAGATTAACATACAAACGACTCAAAAATTGGCAAAATATATTTTCTATGAATCAATTTTCATCACTCCAAAATAACCGTTCGAAGCAGTGGAATTGTTTCGTTCTCCACCTTCCATAATGTCAATATATCACATAAACATTTACAGATTACAAATCATTGTAAAAAAAAACACTTTCGCATCTTTGATCAATTGACTTCGACCTGACATTATTTTAAAAATTATTGATTGCAAATAACTTATCACTTCGAATGATTATGAGAATATAGTAGAGTTGAACTTATCAAAAAACTTATTAAGCAAATAACACAGGTAAATCATCTTCAGTCTCGAGTATATTCTTCGGTTGATTTTCCGATTCGAAAATTCCTTGCTCCTCCAGTTTTTTCTTCTGTTGCTCGAGCAACAAATCTGCTTCAGCGCGATCCTTCTTCTTCTTTGCTTGGATTTTCTTCATTCTGCAGAGGAAGAAAATCACTTTCCGTTTTGTTTTCTGTTTCATTCCCGAATTGTTTTCTCCCTATCGAGCAGAATATTCCCATTGTGCTTCATTCTTTTCCGAAATAATTTCTGCTCAAAAAAGAAAATTTTCAGCGGTATAAAAGTAATCAGTCTCTCCTTGAAGATCACAATGTTTCATAAAAGAATAAAGTCTCCACTGAAAACTAGATTCGTAAACAAACCTGTAAAATTCTTCTCGTTCCATTTCATCCAGTTCCGTCATTATATACATTAATGTATTTTCAATGCGCGGTATTATAACTGAAAATCATCACTCACAAAGTCACACACTACTCAATTCAAACTGAAATATCCTAAATTTTGCATATACAGAAATAGAAATTGAATTTTTTTAGAAATTGAAGTTATATGTAATTGTATGTAAATTGCATACAACTGAAAATTGTACATAAAATAAAGTGTATTTCGACAATACGCCAAATTTTTACGTAACAGTGATCAGATGTAACAAAGCTAGGAAACACACACTCGACTGGTGTAGTATACCACTTAATCAACTTTCGCTATCAGAATATAATCAGCATATCTCCTTTCAACTTCCAGATAATCTGCACTGATTCATCGTTCACTAAGCGACGTAAACTACTCTAGAACGTAACTGATGAATGCAAAATTTACGTTGTTAACGACGTTCTATTACCAACTACTCAAACAAAAGCTAACCGTGTTCAATAGCGTTAACACGTCTGTTGGTCACCTTGATAGCCTCATCCAACGTTATGAAACAAGTCTGCAATGTGGCTAATTCAACGAGCAACTCAACCGCTCTGCTGTAATTCTTCTTCAGTTTCGCGATATTTGCACCTCCTTTTCCCAATCCAGTCAAGTCGTACGTACTCGGACCATCCACATATGCATCGAATACGGGTAAAAGCACACCTCAAAAGTGAATCAATTCACATCACTGACAACATGTGCTGGTTCCCCTCTTCTCATCAATACATATAATATCACCTATCCAAAGAAAACTGCAGTCAAACACAAAAAAAAAATCTGAAAATTGCCCGAACCTCTTAAAATGCTCGTGTTACTTTGACAAAACACAACAATTCAAGCAGATATGAGGATGATATTTGAATGGTGAAAAATGACAATATCATAATAATCAAATGTACCACAGACATACCAACAACGTTCTCTTTCTTCATGTGAACGCGCTGTTGTGCTCGAGAAACATTTTGTATAACCATATGTGAAAAATCACCAGCAGTGAATTTTGCCTCTGCTAATGAGAAGCTTGCTTCGCGTAACACTTCGCCCATTAAGTTTTTATTCTGAACATGAACAATCACTCAATTTCAATGCAATTCGCATTCAGTACACAGATGATAAGCATCGCTCTTTTCGAGTCTAACTCCACAGCTGACTAAATCAGTAACAATCTCCAAAACGCAAAAGAACAACATTGCATATCAACTGCAAAATCACTTTTGCGAAATATACGTCATCTCCTCGAATAAATTCATTTTACGTACAATGCAAACAACTTAACGGCAAAATTTTCCAATAGTGATACACCAAATTACAAATGACGACACGCGATCAAACGATCAAAGAATATGGATCGCAAAAATTAGTTACCTCAACAATCTTGCCAAGAATTGAACGAAACCGCATATTTAATGCATCAGCTTTCTTCTTCAATAGACTGTGGCCTTTCTGTGCAGCTTTTAATCGAGTTTTCATGACTGTCTGCGCCCTAAAACGAGATTCTCCATTGACGTTCTATGGATGAAAAGAGATGAAGGTTAAAATATTGCAAGGCCTTAATATTCGTTTGCATGTCACAAAAGGGAACCCACACGTTCCACGTGGATATATCGAATAAACTTCAACAAAAATGGATA